AGGGAATTGCGCGCGGCCGCAGCTCCGTGTTGAGCCAGTCGAGGCAGCGGTTGGAGGGAAACAAAGCTGTCTTAGTTATATGTAGGGTCGAATTTTGATAACATAAAACATCACCAAAAATGATCTATAAAACGCTCTTAAAACATTTTTAAAATATTCTAAAAGCAAAGAAAAATAACGTAAAAACGTCGCTGAAGTTCAAATGAACAACTCAAGGTATTGGATATGTTACTGAAGTAATCGAAGTTTCTTCCTTTCATTCCAATACACTCAGCTTACAAATTTTTGGTTTTGACTGTTCTTTGCCAGGAAATCTTTAGTTATTGCGAAATCGGTCAGCTTAGAACGGCTGACATTATAATTTCTGAGTGGTGAAATTAAATAGGCTACAGAGGAATTCTGGAGAAAATTTGTTCCATCTCGAAAATATTATTTGAAGTAAACTCCATTAACATAATGTTAAATCACAATTCGAAAACCGTCTGGTGCTTAGAGCTTGTCTCGGCTAGGATGGTGCCCCACTAGTGAGAAATAGTAGTTGGGGAAAAAACCAGGCACCGGATCTTACTATCCTGCAGGGGAACATAAAAAAACAGTGACAAACATGTACTACTACACTTACAGGACAAAGGACCATGGCAGTTTGCATGGTCGAAAACACTAATCAATATTGGTCTCGAGGGAACAGTCGAATACTTCTCGAGGTTTCCAGTGTGCCACCCAATCGCAGCTATTGCTGCAACAGTATTTATTGCGAATTCGATCCTGGCGAATTTCCACGCCGCCCAGGGAGCTGAAAGGGAATTGCGCGCGGGCCCAGCTCCAAGTGGAGGATGGGGGAGAAACAAACTCTTGCCTTAGATATCTTTATCTACTCACAGTAACTAATTTGAATGTCAAAAATCTGCACTATCGATACACCGGATTTGATTGCGGAGAAAAAGAATCAGGAATCACAGCGATCTTCACCCGGCAGCGACCCGTAAATGAGAAGACGGCCGCACCCGAGTGCGGACAGGCGATAAGCCAATGGCGTAGTTCCAGGAGGGGAAGGCTGTGGAGTTGGTAGCGGATACAGAATGGTTAATGATTATCTTGAGTTCCCTTACTTTTGAGTTGGTAATTTAAAAGAGCAAAGGGATTAGTTTACCGATTGTAATATTTTTGAGGGGGACGGCATTGCAACAAGGGAGGTAAAAGAAGGGACCCATTGGCTGCAGCTCACAAGGTAGTACGTCACGTTGTGGCTAATACTGAATATCAGACATCTCCTTCAGTGGTACGTCTCTGGTCTTCTTGAACTCATTAGCGGCGACAACAAAATCTCCACAACAAACATTGTTTTACACATTTTTAGGGAGATTCCTAATAGTTCGATATGATTCCCTGTTTTCTAAATTAACTCTCAGGGATGAATGCTGAATGATAAGGTTAATAAATAATACCGACGTAAGTAATGAGTAACAAATTGTAACATGGGAAACCCGGAAATACTTTCTCTTAATATAAGACTGGACAAGATCATTTCATACAAGCTGCAGCCACTGGATACTTTTCTATTCGCTTTTCATTCCTAATTTCTCTTCTTTCGGGAGGAGTTATTTTCCGATGTATGACGATGTATTTCTAGATTGTGATGGATGGGTGGTCAGCCAATAGCTCGATTTTAAAGATGAAAGGAGGGACGAGACAAGAGACAAATTGTCCTCCCTTCGTACAACCCACGTACTTAAATGGTGTTGAAAATCCACTACCATCAAGACTCAAACCTATAGGTCTTACAGGACCTTCCGGACGACGAAACTTCAACTGCGGATTCGCAACTACAAACGCGAACGCAACCGGTCGTCACTCAGTGTACAGCAAAAATGTGAACATTTCTAGTTTTAATTGTTTTCATATTTCATTTGTAGTTTGTTCAATTTACAGAACAAAATACAAAATATTCGCAGTTCATAATATTCGAAAAACGTGACTACTAGAGAATTCACTTACTGAGAATCTTCCTACACAGTTCCAAATAATTTATCTTGCCATGTCAACGCTATTAGTTCGTTATGAATCTCCGAGGGAGTCTTCGATTAATGCTAAGTGCCTACTCGTTCCACTCTTGGGCCGCGAATTCGATCCTTAGTCAACCCATGTGGATTAAACTTATTCGTCGTAGACGAAGCGGATTCGCGGCATGTATTCTCGTGCTTCTCTTACAGTCACGCAGTCCGACAATGCGTCACGTCATCAAGGCTGTCACCATCTTTCAAATCTTGGACGTCATGGATTTCATTGACCTGGTCAGAAGATCGTCCCCAAAAAAACAAACCAGAAAAAAATATATGAAATGTTCGAATGAATGTTCCGTTTAAAGTACCCGAACACTTCTTTCATCCAGATCGCTGCCACGGGGCACTGCGCGGCGGCGTCGCTCACAACTGGCCCTTTCTTCTGCGCGTGTGCGCGGGGCGGGGGCGGGGCAGAGGGGCGGGCGGCGCGAGGCCGGCCGGGGCCGGCGCGGCCGCGATTCTGTTGTAATGGTGACCTCAACTTGCAGCGAAGCGCGCGCGCCCCTTGCTTCCCGCGGCCGCGCGCGCGTCGCATCGCCACGGCGCCCGCTCGGTTCGCGTTACGCCGCCCGCTTACCGCACGCGCCGCTTACCCGCCGCCCGCCGCCCGCCGCGCATTACCCGCCCGCCGCCGCTTACCCGCACGCCCGCCGCTTACGCCCGGCCCGCCTTACCGCCAACCGCCGCCCGCTTTACCCGCCCGCGACGCCGCTTACCGCCGCCCGCTTACCGACCGTCGCGCCGCTTACCCGTTCGCGTCCGTCACCCGTTCGCCGCAACGCCGCTTCGCCTCGAGTCCCTCGTCCTCACCCGCTCACCGCTCATCTGCTCACTGCTACCCGCTCGTTACTTCGCTCAGTTGCTCGCCCGCGCCCGCCCGCTCCCATCGCCGCTCGCATCACCCACTTAGCTACCCGCCTCGCTAACCGCTAGCCCAACGATGCTGCTAGCCGTAGATCACCGCTCGCTCCTCGCTCGCTCCCTGCCAACTACTCCCTCGTCCCCCGCTCTCTCCGCATCGCTCCTGCATCCCCCGCTCCCCCTGCTCGCTCCCCTTGCCGTCCCCAGTCGTCCCGCTCCCCCGCTCGCTCCCCCGTCGCTCCCCGCTCGCTCCCGCTGCCCCCGCTCGCTCACGCTCGCTCCCCCTCGCTCTCCCCGCTCGCTCCCCCGCTCGCTCCCGCTGTCCCCGCTCGCTCCCCCGCTGCTCCCCCGCTCGCTCCCCGCCGCTCCCCGCTCGCTCCCCACGCTCGCTCCCCCCTCGTCCTCCCCCGCTCGTCCTCCGCTCGCTCCCCCTGCTACGCTCCCACCGTCGCTCCCCGCTCGCTCCCACTCCGCGCTCCCCCTCTCTCCCCGCTCGCTCCCCCGCTCGCTCCCGCTACCTCCCGCGCTTCGCTCCCCCGCTCGCATCCCCCGCGTCCTCTCCGCTCCGCTCCCCCGCTCGCTCCCCCGCGCTCCGCTTCGCTCCCGCTCGCTCCCCTCGCTTTCCCGCTCGCTCACCCGCTTCCTCACCCGCTCGCTCCGCGCCCTCCCCGCTCGCTCTCCCCTGCTCCCTCTGCTCCCCGCTCCGCTCCCCCTCTCGCTCCCCGTCGTCCCTTCGATCGCTCCCGCTGCTCCCCGCTCGCTCATTCCGCTCGCTCCCCGCGCTCCCCCGCTCGCTCCCCGCTCCTCCCCCGCTCGCTCCCCCGCTCGCTCCCCCGCTCGCTCCCCCGCTCGCTCCCCCGCTCGTCTCGGGCTGTAGCCTCTTCTTCTCGGAACGTACACAGCCAGAACGTTCGGTTGTGATGATTGATTGATGGTTAGTGATTCGGAGGGGGGCAACGATTAAAGTCATTAGACCCGTAGTGTAATAGAATTTTTATTCCTCGGGAGGTGACGGTGATCCAATACATAGCGAGATCCGGCGCCGACTTGCAGGCGGCTATCAGAGTTTTCCCCAACTAGATATCTCCGACCAGCGAGGCACGGCCCCAGCCGGGACAAGCTCTAAGCTCCCGACCAGTCTCCCGGTATGTGTGGTAGTGTAGTGCATGTTAAGAGAGGTGACATTACCAGTAGAGGTGGCTTAGGGTATTAACTGATGCCACTGCAGTGCCCCTGGAGGAAAATTCTGGCGGCCGGCTGCTCTGATCGGTAGTTTTTCTTGGTTTCTCCTATCAACACCAGGCGAATGCCGGAGCAGTACCCTAACAAACGGGCCATGGACCTCGCGCGATTTTCGTTCCTTCCTAGCTCTATCTTCACCCCTTACTTAAACACGCTTACTCTAACAGAACATTCGGAACCCAAAGACATCTCGGTCTGCGCCGAACGATTGCGAGGAATCGAATGCCAATGCGGCACGTATAGGCGGATAGGGAATGCATCACTACTCTGAGGTAAAAGATGTCGGTTCAAGGCATCATTTTCTCGGCTGAGACAAAATATTACAGAGATATTACTACGGAAATGTCTGAGCCGGTAATATTCTTAGCGAAGCAGCCTTCATATGCCGAGTGAAATACTTTTCTGGCGTCTATCTGAACTGATATACTATGTTTCAAAAAATATGTCGCATGTTCGCAGTATAATGTTCATAATCGATATTTTCCTCATTGCTTTGACTTCTCCAAAAACATCCCTTTTGCCATTACAGCAATACAGCAGCGCTATTTACATCTAGTACGAACAGATTTCTGAAAATGGCATGCAGTGCAAAAATGTATCCTCGCATATTTACATATAAGGTTGTGATAATTGAACTTTCTTGCAAAGTACCTCATATGCTCATTCCTCAGAGAGGAACAATACCATTAAAGCCCGTTTTAAATGTTAAAAGAAACATTTTAATAAAAGTCGATAGAATAAAACGACCAGTCAAATAAAAGAAATCTGCGCGACAGTCCAGATTTCCACAGGCAACAACCCTTCATTTGTTACGTGGAAGCACACAGATCTCGAGGAATGCTGAGAGAGGAATCCCATATCGAAACCAATTCAGGAGAAGAATTGGGTGCGGGTGCGCCGCGCCGGCCCGCGGGAGGACAGGCGCCGGAGGGGCTTTCACCCGCTGCGGGACCCGGAAGGGCGACGGCGGATCCGGGGGGATGTGGGTCAGTGCCCGGGGCGGGCGCCGCCGCCGCCGCCGCCGTCACTGCCACCTCTCGTCCCCTCCGTGCCCACCTCGCTCCTTCGACCCTCTCTCTTCGTCTTTTGGGCCCTGGCTCTCCGCATTCGCTCCTCACGGGCCGTCTCGTCTCCGTGCGTCTCTCGTCTCTTAAAGTTTCTTTTTTCCATTCCTGACGGAGTACGCATTAAGCACATTAGCACTCTTACACCTTCTCTCCCTTCCTCTCATTCTCTCCCTCTCTCTCTTTCTTTTCCTTCCTCTCCTTCTCTCCCTCCCTCTCTCTCTCTCTCTCTTTCTTTTCCTTCCTCTCCTTCTCTCCCTCCCTCTCTCTCTCTCTCTCTCCTTCTCTCCCTCTCTCTCCTTCTCTCCCTCTCTCTCCTTCTCTCCCTCTCTCTCCTTCTCTCCCTCTCTCTCCACCTCTTCGCATCTCTTCCTATTTCCTCTCTTTCCATCTCTCCCTCAATCTTTTCCGCTCTCTCTCTATCCCTCTCCTTCCTTCGAACTCATCCTGCCTACTCATCGCAGTTTTTCATTGATCTTTATCCCATCATTTTCTCGCCTCTCCTTTCACTAATACCCTAACTCGTACGTATTCGTATTACACTCGCGTGCTTTCTACTTGGTACCAGTCGTTTCGTTTGCTCTTTTTTTCTTCCTTATCAATACTCTGCTTCACTCTCTCCTCTCTAACTTGCCCAACTCTTGACAAGATTTAACTTATTTTATTCATATTATTCCAATTAGTGACTCCAGCGTACCTTACAAGTACTTTTTTATCACACCCAAAATGTCAATTTAAACACGTAATCATAGTAGCGTTGATATGAGTTTGATAGCCAAAGCATTGAGTGCCTCTCTTGTCTGTTTCTCGCCTCCAACTTCAAAGAGCGCTTAAGAACAAGTGTAGTTCGTGCCGCGCCTGCTGGCCGCACGGTCCGCCTGAGGCGCCGCGTCGCCTTATCTTCCTCTGGCTGGCGATCGACCACGAAGAGGACTTTCGTCACGCGCATGTCGAACGTGCAGTGCCTTAGCATGTCACGCCGAAACGACAACCGATTTTGTTACTCTACTGGCATTACCATCTCTCGGTGATATGTTGATGTTTGTTTGTTCTCTTTAAATTGAGTGGGGAAGTGGTCAATTGTTCGGGAGTTGTTGCCCTTAATTAAACACACAGAATGTCGCCCTTGTGTAAAGAATTTACAAAATACTGGCATTTGGGATATTGAAAAAAAATTGAAATTTGCTCATTAGTTGCTCCCTCAATCATCTCAGTATGTTTACCCAATTATGTTGGTGGCCCATTTCTGTCTTCATTTCATGAGATTATAGTAGTTCTCGTTAATTAAAGACGTACAAGAAGGTAAGCCGTGTTATCGCATAGTGTCGTCTCAAACAACATGAAGACAAATCAATTATGGAAACCCATGTTTTTTATTGCGTAGTGGAACATATTTCTACTGTCAGAAGACCCAAGATGCTATTTAAGAATTATTGTTTAAGACGTTAGTGGAACATACAGAAAACATACAGAACTATAAGGTTTCTGGAATGCGTAATATTATGGATCCCTCACAGAATTCTCATGTCATACAGATTTCAAGATTTTCTTGTGTTTTTAGTGTATGACTGTATGAAATAAAAAGTTTATTTTACACGGTAATCCCCTTCATTACTTGTTTTCTTTTGCTATAATCATAAATTCAGTTCATACGGAATGAGAGTTCATTTCTACACCACTATACTTCTGACTTCCAACTTAAGAAAAACCTCTTAAAATCAGTGATTCAAAATAATCAACTTTTTACAAGATTTTATTATCATTTGTGTCCATCCGTCTTTACAATAAATGGTAATGTTTCCCGAGATTGTTCTTTCTGTTAAAAACTTGTTCCACGAAGAAGTTTACGACCTACCATCTTACGACCTCGCGTTCGAGTTCAACGTAGTGCTAAATAGTCCCGCCAGATGGAGTAGCCGTTGTCGACAAGCAGTGCGCTCCAGCGGCCATTCTGTAAACCACCTTCACGTCAAAAAAGGCGCTAAAAACAAAGCGTTAAAATGGAGCGACAGATTTTGGTTTAGTTGTACTATGTAATACGTTTATTTATTTCTACTGGATATTCTATTTATGAAATCTATATTCTCATAATTGCTTAAAAATACATTTTCGAATTTAAAACAATGGGTTTTATTGCTAAATATAGATGGAATACAAATGTGAACGACGGTGAATGACAAATTAGTTCCCAAGAAGAATGAACCGAATAAAAATATGTTTAAAATGTTCCCAAATATCTTTTATTATCTGAGATTAATGCAGACATTCCTTTATTCACCATTTATTGCTTCATAGTGTTGCGCCCGGCTGATAATTCAAGTAATTGTTTTCCATAAACATTGATATCAATCACAATGAAAACAAAATTATTCGGTGACTTTAATCTCTGATTCTACGAAGCGCATTTACAGCTTCACCGGTGTCGACTTCTCTTTCTTATGGTTGAACCAGCTGATGTTCCGGTATTGCCAAGATATTTATTACAAACTTCTATTACCCCCCCCCCCCCGCCTTACTCTCCTTATTCAGCTATTCCCCTTCCCCCCTCCCGACCGCTCCACTAAATCCATCCGCTCGCGCAACCTGCATCCCCGCTGTCAATCAATCAGCCCGTCCACTCCACTCGCCCGTCCACTCCACTCGCCCGTCCACTCCACTCGCCCGTCCACTCCACTCGCCCGTCCACTCCACTCCAGTCGCCCGTCCACTCCACTCCAGTCGCCCGTCCACTCAAATCGCTCCTCTAGTCAACTCGCCCGTCCACTCAATTCGCCCGATCTCTCAACTCGCTCCTTTAGTCAACTGGCCCGTCCACTCAATTCGCCTGTCCACTCAACCCGTTCAGTCTGCTCTCTTCGCCCCTTCTAACCCTCCTTCCTCGGTTCCACCCACATGGCACTCATCAGACGTATTGCACAGATCCACACTGAGTTTAATTTTACGAGTCACCCCCTTCCCATTCCACAACCTTAGAGACTTCGTTCCCTTCACAATGCTATTCTCTTTCAAATTATACAAAGTAAAATTAAACAAGTTTGTCGATGGAGTTACAGTGGAGCGTGTTGCGTGCGCAGGGTGCCAGATCAACGGGCAGACGGTGACGGACGAGCGCAACGTGACCATCCCGGAGGACCCCTGCCTCAAGTGCCACTGCGAGCGCGGCGGGCGCATGACGTGCGTGAAGCGCTCCTGCCCCGTGCTGCAGTGCCCCGAGGGCGCGCGCCGCCCGCCGGGCCTCGGCGAGTGCTGCCCCAAGTGCATCGGTGAGAGCGAACATCTCATTCAATACAACGCGATACATTTAAATAGATTGCAAATGAATAAATACGCCGTTAGTAAACAGAATGATTGATTAACTGTTTAATAATAATAATAGTAATAATAATAATAATAATAATAATAATAATAATAATAATAATAATAATAGTAATTGTATGTATCATTATACAATTATTATTCGTATGGGTCACTACTGACCCAGCAACACACTTCTCTCTCCGAGGCCCAGTTGTAATATATCCTGGAGAGATCGTGTGGAATTATGATGATCAGGTTTTCGGTTAAATCCCTTAGTTACGACAAGGTTATTGGCCTTGAATATCAATTAAGGAATTGTTGTTATTATTATAGGATGATATGACTAGGATAATGGTAGGTGTTAGGTGGGGTAGTGGGAGGTGGTAAGTGTTCGTTCGCTTTTGGAACCATCTCAACATTCGCCTTGTGACCGAGGGAAATCACGAAAACCCCGGTCAGAATGACCGGTCAGTGGTCGAGCCCTGCCCTCCCGATTCGAATCTAGCGCGCTACGCACTAAGCCACTTTGCTCGGCTTATATTCAATTAATAGTGAGGCAAATGTTTGAGAAAACACGAAAATAACGGAACATGCGATGTTTAATCTAACACTCAAAAGTGTTTTTGTTTTCTCTTGATCGGCATACTTTTTCCTTCAATTACGCAATTGCTATTCAATGTGTCCGTTGACATGCTTTAATATATAATAAAAAACAAAAACATAATTTCATTATTATTTATATTATTATTAATATTAATTGTAATGTCTAAAGTACTACATGAAACAGTCTCTGACATTTCGACTCGTTGTTGCCACACAAGCGCGAAATATGACGTGTGAGATATAGTGAGATATATTCACCCTGATTCGAACACCGTTTCAAGTTTGCGCTATGTGTTAGGGCAAAGCGATGCCGAACCCCGCGTGCAAAGACACTGGATCGCGCGGAAATCGCACACGAACTGGCCTGGCGCGCGTGACAAAGACACATGCCATTCGAACTGACACGACTCTTTGAACTTCTCGGGCTACTTGGTTTGAGTCAAATGGGCGACAACGCTGATCCGTGTGTAAGAAAGCGTAAACAAATCTTTTGAAGTATTTTTTGTTTGTTTCTAATAAGGATGAGTTCGGTATCGATTAATACTAATCAATAAATAAATCCAACTCGCATGTCTACACAATTTATAAATCACACTTTCTTCTTTTCTTTTTTGACGACGTAAGTCATATGAAAGTTATTTTTCATATTGTTATCATTAACATATTTTTAAAAAGTTTGTTTTAATAAATATGTAATGAATTGCATTTGTGTTATTTGTAGGAATTAACTCAAGATTCCAAATTGAGGAATCGAAGCGTCATTCAATGTAAAAGCCGATTGTTATGTAAACAATAAGTTTTGAGGTGTCTTTATCAGTCGGTCGCAAATCCTCGCAAGGCGATGGCTCCAAAGCAGTTCGCATGACGCAGCGGGAGGCGGCGGTAGAGTGACGGGCGGTGGGTGGCGCTTTGCAGGGCAGCGTCCGGTGATGGAGCCGCCGCAGGGCATCTGCATGCTGGCCAAGGACGTGCACCGCTCGGGCGACACGTGGTCCCCCGACCACTGCACGCACTGCAAGTGCACCAACGGCACCTCGGTGTGCCGGCGCCAGACGTGCCCGGTGCTGGAGTGCGCGGCGCAGCACACCACCCACGGCCAGTGCTGCCCCAAGTGCCAGCCCGTCGACCTGAAGCGCAACGCCACCTGCACCATCGCGGGACACACCTACAAGGCGAGTGCGCGCTCCTTCCCTTTGGTTTCCCTCGTGTTACGTTCTCCTTTCTCTCGCGTCTTCTTTCATTTTTTGAAACCTCTGCAATTACACAGGCTCACCCAAAGACTTGACACATGTTTCTCTACGTATGTCAAAGAGCTGAATCCGAATCTGAAGCCTTAATTGTGGCACCACATTCCATTGTTTAGTCTCAGAAGACATCGTAAAATTCTTTTTTCATTGTTGTTGTGTTTTTTTTCGAGGATTGTTGTCAGATCCAAAAACTTGACACATATTTCTCTACGTATGTCAACGCGCAAATCTAAAGCCAATCGTTACAGTTGTTGATTGTAAATTTCACTTTTTTTTTATTATTAAAAACTGGAGGGTAATGGCGCAATTCTGACTTTAAGTTTCGGATTCAGTGCGTCAAAATACATAGAGAAACATGTTTCAAGTCTTCGAGTCTGACAAATTTTGTTTTTTGTGTGCCTGTGTTATTAATGTACAATATTACATTTCAATATTTTATTGAGTTTCTTATTTATTACTTTTAATCTTACTGATCATTTTCTTTTTCTTTCACTTTTTCGTTACTTGTTTCCTAGTTATCTTAGAGTATTTCTTCTACTTTTACTTATTTTTATTCTATAAATTCTCAGTCAAATTAAAGAATATTGTCTTTACTTTTTATCTTTCATAACAAAAATTACATTATTTATTTATTAAAATGACAAGCAGATTATAAAAATATAAACTTCATTTTCAAAATTTCTTAATGCGGTTTTGACGCCATTTCTTAATTTTACTCCTGTTTAATTTATCGCTTTACCACATAAGAAGTAAAGGGAAAGTATTGTAATTGTGTGACGGCAATAGACGATTTTTCACAGGAAAAAAACTTAATTTCCCTTGAGGACTATTTACTCGGGCCTTGGTATCAAGAAAGTGGTTAAATCTAGTTCCTATATATAGTAAATTACTTCTTCTAATCAGGTTGGGTACTCAGAATCCATGTTTTCTGAGTCCTTGATACAGAAAAATCGATTGGTGACACACTGCCCGTCTGTCTGTTTGTCGAGAAAAAATGCTAGAAATTAGGAGCTATTGTAGCACCACTAGTTATTATTTTGACACATTATTGCAGTTCCTCTCATGTTACAAAATGTTCTGTTCATTTTTTTATTTTCGCTAGTTTGAAGAAAATATAATAAAGGCAACCTTAACTTAATTACTTATATTCATTCCTGTTTATATCTCGGAAAAAGGTGTTTTTAATTTTTTCCAACCTTCTTTTTCTTCCTTAGGACGGAGAATCATGGCGGCTGGGGCCTTGCAAGTCGTGCTTGTGCCATCAGGGCCAAGTGCGATGCGCTGTGCAGATGTGCCCCGCTTGTCCCACGGGTTTCAAGGAAGAACGTCACCCTGGGGAGTGCTGCCAGCGGTGTGTCGAGAGTACGAGTCGCATTTACTCAAATTCAGTATTTAAATGTTGGTCCTTTGTCTCTACTGTGATACAAATATATGTATTTTCTTTGATTTGTAGGTGATGGAGTTTGTGCAGTTTTTGGAGATCCTCACTACAAGACCTTTGATGGAAAGTTTTATAGCTTCCAAGGCTCTTGTAAATATCAGCTTGCTACTGATTGTGTGGGGAAGAATTTCTCGATTAGAGTAACACACGATTCACGACACACCAAGACATCATCTTGGACTAAAACAATCTCTCTCAAGGTAAAATACTTTTAATATTCAAGGATACTCAATAAGAAAACAATTTATATCAAGGCACATTGTATAAAGTATAACGGCTTTTACTGAGGGACTGTGAAATAATTTATTACATTAATTGTACTCAATGAGTACAGTACTTATTTTGATAGTTATCAAAAGAATTGTTAGGTAATATATCGAAATGACAGAAAATTATTTGCTATAATTGCACTATAGTTACTAGTCATAAAATACATAGTGTTTGAAAAAATCGAATAGTTAGGAAGAAATACATGCAAATTAATGAAAATCAAATCTTCATTGCATCTGAAATAGGGTCAAAGGAAAAGTAATAAAAATTTCCTGAGAGGCACATTAATGTCGGGTTTAGAGATTGTAGAATTTCAGAAACATTAGTTGAGCATAATGCGAAGTTTAAGTTTGATGCAAAGTACGCTAAATAATATTTATTTTAATGATAATCAAAATTAACTCAAAGTTTTTTAAGAAAGATAAAATTCACTCAGCACAATTGGTTGAAAAATCACAATTGATTCAAGTGTAAATTTGTTATTAAGTGATTTTAATTACTTATCCAGTCTCAAGAATTATTACTTCTATATCCTAGACCCAATAAAGTAACCTGTCTTCTCAGGTCCATGTATCACCCATCCATTCCTGTTTCTCATATGCCATTCTCTCCTATCACAAGTTTTTCTGGGGAATGGAGAGATAGTAAATAATGTTTTCTCCACCATGTTTATATCACACAAATACTGAGGAGTACAGTTCTTGTACATGCAGCAGTACTAAACACACAAAAATTATTACTCCCTCCAGGTGCACTGTTGTTACGAAACCATTTACACGTCGTTTTTAAATTTCAGATGGGAGAACTGAAAGTGAACTTGGGACAGAAGATGAGGGTGAAGGTGAACGGCAAGCGAATCGAGCCTCCGTACCACCTCTCCGACAAGCTCTTCGTCAACAAGACGGACGAGAGTGTGCGTGTGCACACGCACCTGGGCGTGGGCATCCTGTGGGACGGGTACAGCTTCGCCGAGGTGTACGTGCCCACCAAGTACAAGGGCCACATGTGCGGCCTGTGCGGAGACTTCAACGGCAATAGCCGCAACGACTTCGTGACCCGGCGCGGCCGCCCCGTGCAGGACGCCGACAAGTTCGGCACCTCGTGGCGCGTGGGCGGCGTGAAGGCGTGCACGCGCCCCCATGAGGACCTCACGCACACGCCGCAGTGCCAGCAGCCGGCCATGCACAAGAGGAACTTCCGGAGGTGCGAGCCCCTCAAAACGCACCCCTTCGCCGCCTGCCATCGGAAGGTCAACTTCATGACTTACTTCAAGTGAGTTGCCTACTTGTTACTTCCCTTCTCTTACTCTGTTGTTAGTAGTAACCTCATGGTTATACTTTGGCCCCGAGGCCCTGCCTATCTTACGAAAAACCGTACGAACCGTATGAAAAAAAATCGAATAATTCAGTTCATGGCGCAGGGCGTCAGTTGATGTCACTGCAGCGCCTCTGAACGGGAGGTCCTTGGGTTTGAGGCCCGACGGTGACACGATTTTCGATGCTAACTACATAGCGAGGTCGTTTTCAGCCGCTGGTGGTGGAGAATTCTAGCAATCGGGTAATTTGATTGTGTGGTTTCTCCGGTGAATACCAGGCGAATGTCGGAGCTGTACACTAACAAACGGGCCAAGGACCGCGCGCGATGCTACCTTCGTCTTCCTTGTCTTATCCTCACCCCTTACTTACACACACTTACACTTACGTGCACCACACTTCCACAAGACTCCGCTGTTCTAAAAAATCCTCTTCCCAAACCCTTTTCTTGGAGCCCACCCCACCTCACTCTTGTGGTGGCATATTATGTGCCAAACGTTACGGATCTGTTTAGATGTTCATCTCCTGTAAGACTTCGAAAAACTATTAGCACCTGAAACGACATCGACCTGACGTGACATCGACCCTCAAAATCGTGTGTAACACAGCGCCTACGTTTGACTGATAACTACGCATGTAGCAGGGAACACATCCACTCATCATACATTTTTACATGTGTATGTACACTCGAATATACATTTACCACTAAACACAATTGTTCTATTCACTACTAACTTGTGCGTATCCCTAGAGACTCTTAAAAATACGCTGTCTGTGGCAACCGCTCACTTGTTCGTACACGATGCCTCTCCATCAGCCTTGAAGTTAAAATTAAAAATTAAAAAATTGTAAAAAATTTTAAAAATTAAGAAATTTTAAAAAATTAAGAAATTTTTAAAAAATTAAAAATTTAAAAAAATTAATAATTTTAAAAAATAAAAAAATAAAAAAAATGATTAACTCCTTACAATGTACGTGTGTGCTAGGGCGTGCATGGTGGACATGTGCGAGTGCCCGACCGGGCGCTGCTACTGCGAGTCCTTCACCGCCTACGCCCACGAGTGCCAGCGGCTGGGCGTGCCCCTGCGCAAGTGGCGCTCGGCGACGGGCTGCGTGCCCGGCTGGGCCTTCCAGCGCCGAGGCCTGCCCTCCTCGCGGTTGCACTAGTCTCGCCGCGGTGGCAGCCCTGCTGGTTGGCTCCGCACTACTAGTCAGTGCTTGTCTCTGGGTGTGCATGGTGAGTTCTTGACGCCATTAGCCCGGAAAACAGCGAGTAAACGCGAAAACAGTGAGGTTTGTACTCGTATCCAACTGAGGCTGTACTTTATGTTACGAGATGTCGATCTGTACATTTCGTTTCTAAGATTTTAAAAAAATTAAAAAACAACAACAGATATACCTTTTCTTATAAAAGGAGTACTTCCGCAATATTTTGCTACAACTCATTTGCTTTGATTATTTTTGAGAGTGGTGGTCTATTAAATCTGTAACTATCGCCAGCCGTTAACCCATCACCAGCCAATGTCCCATTTTTCGAACGAATTTTTGAATTTTAATATCTTGCTAATTTTGCAAAAAAAATATCATTATAACAGAGAAAGTAACAACTTTTAATGATGAAATATCAGTTTATGCTTACCTGTTTTTTAAACTTGTGAATATTTGGTCTCCATGTTGGTAAAATTAAAATGTATCCGAAAGACACGAAGGCGGGAGTATGTGCTTGAAAGTGACTTGCCTCACTTGTGTTAAGTATTAACATGTTGATTTCAACTGATTCATGGTTTGATGTAAGTTGCATAGAGCATAATGTATTGCGCCCAATTTTGGAGACATTAGCCTGATATGTAGTTAGGTTACCCGCAATACACCGTGCTGTCATACGAGGAACCTAACTTATTTTACGTAGTGCATAAATGCATAATACGGGGCGATTTTATACCGAAGATAATAATTTAATTATTTACACTTCATTAACGTCATTTTCCCATTTTATTTATTATTTTATTAATATAGTATATGTAGTGAATCATTGTTAGATATCATTATTGGTCAAAAATCGGTGATCTTTCAATCACAAAAAAAATCTGCGTTTCATGGAAAGAAGTACACCATTGATGAAACTGTCTCTTGTTTAGAATATGAAGTTAGTAAAAATTAATATTTTGCGGAAAATGATTTTAGCATGTCCATTATTCCTTCTGATCCTGATCAACTGACTGATGAAAAAGAAACTTCAAATATTATTTCCAAAACAGAGAAATACAAGATGTAGGGGGACATTGGAACTGGCAATGAATATTGATAGAAAAATGTGCCCCAAAGAGAAATCAGAATCCACTTTTAGTAAGAAGTAAGAATCCACTTTTAGATGAAAAACTGAATAGTCGAGCCCCTATTGGAAGTAACACATCCAACGTACATTGAAACAACCCACCTATCTTGTCAAACGTATTCCTGTTTGTTTCATTTGTCAAAGTAAGAAATGATTGCTGCTCCTATCTTTTGGAATTAATACAGATGTGCATCACAGGTGCTTTGTTTGAATTGGTTGAATTATACATTTTCAAGTAATAACTGAGGTAAAAAAATTGGAGCAGATTTTGAGAAAATATCGTTTGAGACATTCTAAAAATACGCAATTCAAAGATCATTTTCACTTAAAACTTTTGAGTTTTTTCGAGAAACTTCTTAAGAAATTATTTGAAGCAATTGCACTCACATGTTCAGTAATGTATTCAAATTGCCATGAGAGAGATGTCAAAAATTTACACTCTTGACGTATACTCTTTTGAAAAAACAAAAGAATTCGAAAAAAATACGTTTATGCCTTTTTGCAGTGCTTTTACTGCTATTCCTACAAAAAGTTTACGGGAAGAATTTGGAGTCGGTTTTGAGAAATTCTTGTTTTGGATAGTTTTTAATAATTACCCATATCTCACTCAAAATTGTGCAAAAACTACTATTTTGAAAACATGTGCATGACGTTGCTCAAGAAATAAATTATGGAGAATAAATTTCATTTGAAGAAATAATTTCTACTTGGGTATTTCACTTTCTTCTTTCAAAAAATGTAAAGAAAAAATTTGGAACCAATTTTAAGAAAATTCTGAAAATGTCTCAGAGGCTTCATGCAAAGGACCCTAAAATAGAAAGAATGTTGTTTTTTTTTAATCGCAAAGCTTTCATTCGTGCCAGACCAACCTGGGAATATTTATTTTGAAAATATCTTAGGAATAATTTAGGCTCTTCTTCCAGAACGGACGGACGGACCTTTCGAAATAGCACACTTTTTAAGAATCAAGTATTGTATTTCCGTTGAAATCTCGAAATCGATTTTCCGCAGTAATACATTACTTTCTCTATAATATGTACATTATTTATTATATCTAGTACGTACGTGTACGAGAAAGTAAAAGGGGAATAAAGTAGCACAAAACAGGCTGTGACTTTTTGTAGCACCGCTAATTTTCTTTTTCCGCCCTTCAAGCGTAGTCATAATAAGTCTTCCATTGTTCCTTCGCAGTGGTTCAAGTTTTTAACACCGTATTAATAATTACTTTTATCCATCTCAGCTTTTGTGTGTGTTGAATTAATTTTTTATCTCACATGGCAATTTTTCTCACATTTTATGGCATTATTATGATATTTGTCAAGAAGGAAATCCATTGTGAATCGGCTGTCATTCAAAAACGTCCATCCTAAGTATTTATGAACATCTTTGTCTGAGCTTTTCATTAATAAAGAATGAAAGTAATATGAAAAAATACAAATATAATGAACAAACAAACAAACAAGCAAACAATACTTTGTAGATTTCTCATTTATATTGTCAGATTGTATTGGCATTTTTATATCGGTAATTGTATTGGAAATCTGCAAATGGAACAAATATTTTTACAAGTACAACTTTGCATATCATGGATCATTTTAATGATTTAGTTAGTTTTACTTACGATATTTTAGTAAGAAATTTGTTAAATTTATCATACATCTGGTTCTGAGACATGTGTATTTTGTTTACAAAGTCTTTAAAAAAGCGCAATTTGTACTTATTAATTCATACTATTCTAAATTGCATTGTTTTTTCTTCCTGTTTGCAGCATGTGATTTTGGAGAAGTCCTGTGAATGTTGCTGTTGCTGTTTGCTGCATCAAGGCAAGTACATTGTGAGAGTCTCCTGCAATGTCAACAGTATTCTCTGCTCTCATCAGCTTCCACATGAAATCTTAACATTTTGAGCTGGACTCAAAGGAAGTCTTGTGGTAAGCCGGAATGTGAGGCAGAATTGTAACATATGTTAAAGTGTGTGATACAGAAACCCTGTTGAGAAGGAAGTGTATAGGTTGAAACATACAGAAGGTACTATATCTACAATATGGTATTGATTTTAAGATTTTAGCACACTCATTTTCTGTAAATGCTGACATTCAATGTTAATTGTCTTATGACATGTACAATAATTTCATTGAAACTGTTGTTCAATAAGTTTATCTTTTTATTTCATATTTAATTATGAGTGATGCTGATATGGTACCTATAACTTTTGTGAGAAACAATTAAGTGGATTAGCAGTGTGTGTAAATATTTCTTAAAGTATTATCATTCTTTATCATAGCAATGTACAATTAATTTTATGTTAAGTCAACCTACTGCTCATGGTTTATCCAAGGCACTTTAGGACTTCAATATGTTCAAAATATTGAAATATTTTATTCAATGTTGACATTCCTTTTTGCACAAGGCCAAAATATTTATTCTGAAATGTTTATATTATGTGGTTTTCATATGATTTATTTATAAAATATATTAGGAAATGTGGATATATGTAAAAATACTTGCATAGAAAATTATCAAATGAAAGACGCGATGGTTTACAAACGATCAAGCTGCAGTGCTGAGGCGCCTTGGCCTACCTACAAGTCGGTTGTGGGAAATAGATTGAATAAGACATGCCCTGAGCTACTGAGTAGCAGAGCCCATATTTACAGTGTTATTGTAATGAATGATGGAGCATGGAGAGGACTGTAGACAGCTAGTGAGCACCATAATGTAATAGATTTTAGTTTTGTTGGTTGGACTGGGTCTGCCTGATAATGTGTAAGAATTTTTATTCTTAGCTTCTTCCTTGTTGTCCGTACTTTGGCTGTTACTAGTAAAAAAAATGTAATAATATATATTGGTAATGACATTGTCAACTAAAAACACTACTCATAAATATGCTAACCAAAGATCTTGACTCCTGGAGTGTGTAGCAACAGAAGCAAAGTGACTGATTGATTTATCTAATTGAAGATAACTTCCTTTTAGAGCATGATCATCAAATTTCTTCTAGATATAAAAATAAATCTTAAAATTTGAAGTCTTGATTATTAGTATCTTATACTTTCTGAACAAATGCAATCGTAAATTGCCTGCAAATATTGTAATAGAAATTTCGAATGTGAATCAATTAGCAACATAATTTCAAAAATCATTTCAAAATTAGTTATATAAATTATTAAAAATATAGGAACATATAAATATACCTTGTGTAATAATTGTCAATCTGAAATATATATATATTAGTTTTATACAAATACTTCATACTATATTATTAAAAAATAATTATTTCACATATCAATTCCTGCTGAATAAGAATAATATGAAGACTATGATTGGAAACTCTATGTGTATTTTTCCTTTGAGTCGAGCTGCAGTTGCTCTTCCTTGTGGGAAAAACAAAATATATGTGGTTTATCAATAAAAGTGGAGTGTGAGAGCTGACTAAAGCCAATCTCTTGATACTGATGAACAAAAGGTAGGAGGTCTGTAACCTTCTGACTGCTATGTCATTATTGGTACAATCAGGACCACAGACATGTGCACTGGGGGAGCCAAAGAGTCCATTCTTCCCCCCTGAAAATTTTGAAAGGGGTCATGAAATCCTATCCAATAAAACATTTTATTTTCTTAAATATAATAAGTTTCAGATTTCCCTCATTTTTAAGCTGATACTTTGAGGAATTTAATAAACAACATTTGTGAAAGAAGCTCTCCAAACCATCTGGCAACCCAATGGTTCAACAAAAATCAATTGAAGTGTATCATTAGATTAATATTATTAATTAATTGTATCATTAAATTTATAAATTCATTCTCTTTGTAAGTTTAATTTGCAAAACATTATAAGTAAATAAAATAAGTTTAATGGAAAAGGCGGCCCAGTGATGCACAGAAATGTAGTTGGTCCCCCTCTTCTTTTAGGCTGTGCACGTCTACAATCAAGACACAAATTTCTTCTTTTTGAAATCGTTATTGAAAGAAGTATGTTGTGTGCATTACTTTGTTTCATAATTTTTTGCTGTTTATATTTTTTAATATTTATTATGCAAAATATATTTTCTACCTCAAAGTAGTCATTTTAATTTTTCTATTCTAAAACTATCCTTCTTTTTTAGTTTGTGAGTGGACCATGGACCTCATTTATTTAAAAAAAATATAATTAGCATTCAGTGTTTGATCTGGTGTAAATTAAATATCTTTGAAATCAATGCTCCCAAGATAATTTGAAAATTAATGAAGGATGTGTTTTATTCAATGTAACACCATAAAATAATAATTTATCACTATTGAACACTCTATTGCATTGAATTTTGCAATTTATGATTTTATTATTATGGTTTTATTATAAATTTCTCCAAATAATATTTCTTTGTGAACTAAAAATTACAAAGAGATGAAGATACTGATTGTGAATTACATTGTACAATATACACTGGTTCTAGTTTTGTGGTGAATTTAACAGAGAGGTCAAGGTTGACAACCCCTGCCAAGAGTTAGCTAGTTTCAAAGGCTTCTGCTTCTTAAGGTATTTCTGAATCAGTTGAAGTATGTAAGTTACAGGCTCCGGAGCTGTATCGATCTCTCAGAATTCTTTGTGCCATCTACTGATGGAGGAACACCTCACAGTAATTAAATATGTATTGCAAATTAATTTATGTAATTTACCTTCAATCATGTTTAACAAATGTTCAATGTAGAATTATAAAACACATCAAATAATTTTCATTTTTTGAAGTGTCAATGCACTCATGCATGTACACAATGTAGTTACAGACAAAGTCAGCTACTGCTGTAGTACAGATAACTGTTAGATTACAATTGAAACTACAAGCATCAATATTTGAGATGTGTTAATTTTCAGTATGATAATGAATGCTTTATTATCAGTGTTTCATTTATTTTTCAAAATCTCTAAGAATGAAGAATGTATGAATGTTGCAGAGGTGGATCTAAGGAGGGCCCATGAAGGCCCTGCCTCCCCTCCCAATGTCAGTTTTTTTTTACTGTTACTCAATTTAATAGAAACAATTACTGCAATTGATCACATCACATTCAAAAGAATTTATCCATTATGGGTGTACATTTTTTTTATTTTTAACTTCAAATACCTATTTTTTGTTTCATTAATATTTCAGGGGGCTCCAAACTGAAACTGGCCCCTCTCCCTCAAAAAGCATTCTGGATCCACCCCTGGAATGTACACACAGTGATTGTCATTGATTTCTTCTCCCTTTGCCAAAAGAGATTTGTACTGATGTCAGACCTGTAGAGAGTATAAAATCATTAAATTATAGTAATGAAGAAAAACTTTTTTAGATAATCATCTATTGTGTAACATAAATATTGCATGTAATAAAATCATCTCTATTATATCTATCAACAGAATGAATGAAATTAATGTGTGGTGTATCTCTAACTGTATTTTATAAATTAGATTTATAAATTGCACTCTGTAAGTTAAATTGTGTTTATAAGCTAGAGGAGAATTTGTTAATGTATGTAATTTGCAGTACCGTTTTATTTATTTACTAATATTCACTTGATACTGGAATAATTTTACCACTGAAGGATCTCATTATCAATGCATTTATGAAGAGAATAATATAAAAATTGAAGGGATGATAGCTGATGAAATATGACTGATTTCATATAACTGGACATCCCTTGTTACATATTTTGTGTTTCGTTGTTCCTATGTTCGTTTCAGGTAATTCAGCAATGATTAATGTTGGTTTTACATATTAAGTAGTAGTTATAGCTTCCTGATTCAATGCAAAGTTTACTGCTATTTGATTTTTCATTTATAATTCTATGTTTTCATGTGTAGATTAGGAATCTCATTAGCTTAATTAAATATAAAATAATAAATAAAATGATTATACTCGTATGTTGTGACCACCCCTTTTTGTGTTTTTCTGAGTGTATGATAGATGTTTCTGAAATGACAAACAATATGCTCACTTCTGTTGCAAGTGTAAGTATCTAATTAACCACTTTCAAAGCATTATAAATAATTTTTGTAATTTTATGTTCACAATGTTGTGTTTAGTTGTGTAGTTAAAGTTGAAGTCAAGAAATTGACTGTATATTTAAGTCTGAAGACCAAAATAATGTTCGTGTATTTGTGAAATCAGGTGATTTCATTTGATGTTACAATAAATGTCTTATATCTCCCTAATTATGTAATATTTTATTCAATACCTATTTATTCTTAAAAGCATGAATTCTCATCTTATGTGAATGTCTAACTGAAGATCTACATTTTTAACTTCAGAAGAATTTGATCCATTTATTACGTTTTGTTTTGTACTTAGAGAGTGGGCATTATTCTTCTGTATATTTATAACTTCTATATACATAACGTCTCAATATTTAATCCGCCAAGACTAGACGGCATTTTTTACGATTTATAAAAACCATCAACACAAAAAGTATATGTTCTACAGCTGGAGAGGGAATTACGTCCCAGTTCTGCCTCGAATGTACTAAGAGAAAACTATAGGTGGTAAAACAGTACGTACTTTCTCCACCGTATTTTCACGCAACATTACGCGAAAAGTACCTACTCAAATTAACGAAATATTTTACATGACCTTATTTCAAAATCTACCTTTAAGGAATAGATTTCATTAAGGGGAAAAATCTCAATCCTTAATATTTTAGTTGAAGGAAGACTTCGAAAACATTTTGACTTTGAACCAATTTGAACCTTTGAACAAAGACTTTGAAACCAATCCTCGCAAAGGTAGGTTTTTATCGAACATGAGACATGAACCGTTCTCTTAAACGTTCTTCACACTATCTAGCAACAAAATTTAAACAAAATCAATGGAGCCATTTTTTAAAAATTTGAAAATGTCCCAGAGGTTGATGTAAAGAAATTAAAATATTGGTTTCAAATGCAAGAGGTCCCCTCAAAAAATTAAAATATTGGTTTCAAATGCAAGAGGCCGCGACATCACATCAGCCAGATCAATTGGAGAATACCAATTTTGGAGAAAATCGGCTGAACGGTTTAGCTACTAGCGTTGTTCACAGACGGACGAACTAACCGATGTTTTGCCGTCATTCAATTTTTCATTATCAAGAACCCACAAAACATGGACTCTGGCCCGTGTGATTGATTTTTTCCCCTAAATTTAGCAACTGGATTTATCCACTTTCTCATTGCCAGGGCCCTACAATACATTTTTGCCAAAAATTCCCCTTTTTTCGCGCAGCTTTTTATAACTTTTTCTCTACTCTGTATGAAGAAAGTAAAATTGAAGTTAGCAGATTATGACACTGGCAGCAAATTACAGCAACGCACAACTTGAAAACTACGCGCGCTAGTCCCTTCTAATCAGGTTTTTGAGGCGGTAAAACAGGCATGTCAAGGTCGTTGGCAAGGTAACAAGCTTACTAGAGCTCACGGGCACTGCGTCCAGAGAAATTGGCGCGAGATTTAAAAGTAATGGTTGTACAACGCTACGGAATGGCAGTACGTCACTGGATACCTAGTCCATGACAGTCTTTGGGAGAAGTTACTTGGCAGTTATTATCGCAAATTTAGCTACATTAATTCCTATTTTGTCTTTAAGGCAAAGAAATAATCCATTAAAATGAAATATTCGTAATACATCAGTCAGATTTCCAGTTCTCAATAGAGAGTAAATTTGTTTTAAAAAAACGAATCAAAAGTATTCTGATTTGGTAATTCCATTTACTTAAGGGCAATCTAAAAGTATGAACTTTCTACGTCTATGTTAGAAGATTTAACAAAGAAATATTATCTGTTAAAAGCGATAATAGTTAACATATAGAAACTTGTTAACTAATTTCCCATTATTGATGAATACAATAAACAACTGAATGTTTTAATATCACAACACAAAACGAGAACAAGAAAATAATGCTCCATTCAAACATATTCCGATCACTTTCAAAGATTTTATAATAAGGAGAATTTAGTAAGAAAATAAACATCAAATAGAAATAGGTAATGAAGAACATAAACAATACAATTCTCGGTTATTTGATGCAAAAAATCTGGTAAATATATTCTCGGAGAAGGTCCTCATGCTCCTTTACTGGAGTTTCACAGTGCGCTCTTTCATGAAGTATTCTCGGTGTTTTCCTTTCAGGTATATTCAAATTTTCGCTGAATATTATAGTGCAACTCTGAATGCAGAACACATAACTAAAAGTTTTTGAAAATAACCTAGTAACGATTTCATAACATCTTTTGAAATTATTTTATCGAGAGATATAAAAAAATGTACACGAAGTTACACAGTGAAATTAACTCAGGTGCAGTACTTTATTGTTCCTTTAACTTATATGATCAGTTACAGCTGTCCGAATTTGCCCCATTTGCATGAAATTATATTGTTCGGAAACGATGCAGAATGTAATGCCTTTCGCTGCAGGTGTGTTGTGCTATAAGCAGTGCTTGCAGGCAATTAGAAATGCTTCCAGTACATGATGCAAAATTCCTTTAACTTGCAGCCATTTAGAGATTACACTGGAAAATCTCGGAAACTAAAAAATTGAACAGTGGATTTCACATGCCAGTGACTGTTTACAAAATTTTAGTGAATGGCGATGTAATGTAGTCATGTGAGCTATGAAGTTCGCATGGAAGCTAAGTTCCCTGGAGGAGCGCGATTGTGAGCGAGGTTTTAAGTACAGAGACCAAGTCCGATGAAGAATGAAAAATAAGTTTCATGGAAAATTGAGCTGCAGAGCAGCATGAAGTTGATATAACGGTGTTTCTGGGTTCTCTATCCCGTTATCAACGCTAGAGGATGGAGGATTTATAGAAAACATGGAAATTTATTAGGCTATTACGCCAAAACCCGCCTCAACTCTACATGCCTCGCCTGTAATAAACATTGCTGTCCGAGAGGTTTTACCCTTTCGACATAACTTTTCCAAAAGTTCCGATACTGATCCGCTTCCACAATGTCTCCTCTCCTCGAGCGTTTCTGGAGCCCTCTCGTAAATGTACTTAAGATGAAGGTAACCCACCATATCTCTCGCTCCAAACGCAACCCCAACTCAGATAACGTAAAGAAGCGATATTTCTCTCGCGTGCATGCTTGAAAAAATATCCATTACTTCTCTTTCACAACGCTTTCTATACTCTTGTACGCAGCCAATGAAATTGCTGATGCGTTTACCATTACAAGAGCATCCGCAGGGGCGATTAATTCGCCATGAGGTGAGCTGCACATCGTAAAATAGGGAAATGTATTGTTTTATTACTACAAAACTTTATTGACAAGACTCCTCTGATGGCATCGCTATATTAATTATGCAAGTAAGTAATTTCAACGTTATTTGTGCTCAGATGATGAACATTGATAAAATTGACGAATTAATGAAATATTAATGCGTTATTTTGGAAACACTATCGTCCAGCTGCAGAATGCTCCCATTGACAGATTACACTGGAAAGGCTCGGGAATTATGTTTAAACTTGAACAGTTGATTTCACATGCCACTCACTGATCGCAAACTTTTAATGCATGGTTATGTACGTGAACTTCTAATCGGGAAAATTTCTACAGCACGAACCAAAAATAAAGACAATTGACGATTCAGAGAAAATCTCGCCTGAAATTTATCAAGAATAAAATCACAGACTGCCGATATCATCCGACCTTACATAACTAGATTAGGTTAAGATTCGATTTATTATTAATTATTCTAATAAGCATCGCAACTTACTGGCACTATATCTTAACTTTAAATGCATTAAGTTTACATTAACAATAAGTTACAAGAGGGTAGTTAATTAAAAATCAATAATTAGATTAGAGAACTCTCATTAAGCAAAAACTAATGATAGGGCAGGTAAAGCCATCAAATTATTCTTTGATGCAAGTGCTATGGAAGTGAATTAAAAAAATCTAACATCATAAGGTAAGTTCTTTTATATCAGAATCGGTACAGTTCTTTTATATCAGAAAGCTTACAGAAACTGTAAGCGACCTTTTAGCGGAGGAGAGTTACATTTCCTGTTCAGAAACAGTGCAGTGGATTTCTCATTATTTGCCTAACAGATCAATGAAAATTCGGCGAAAAAAGTGAAAATTTGCGTTGTTCCTCAGTGATAAAATACTGAATAAATACAATAAAATTATAATTATATACTATAAAATGAGGCAAAACTTTGCGTTACTGTAAAATAAAGCTGAAGTTAGTGATTCTGTCACAAACGTTGCTTCGCTGTTGTTTGGCGGTGCGGAATTCCATTGTCGCATTCCAATATGATATTTCCTGAAGGCTAGCAACTGAAGCACTGAAATTAGAATTTGCAAAATTACGCTAAACTACTCACATAAAAAGGTACATGACCTTTTTTTAAAGAGCTGATTTTTTTAAACAGATTTATTTTAACAAGTAACTCATATGATTAACACTGCTTGTCTTTTCTCGTCTCCGATTATTCCATTTATTGATTATTTTGTATTCACGAGTGTCTCGACTGATATTGTTATTAGTCCCATAAGTGAAGTGAATTTTATATTGCGGGAGAAGACGTCCTCCCTCGATAGAATAAGCTCTTCGTTTCCGACTGATCACCCAACGTGTGTGGTAGCGAAACGCATGAATGTGTATGTTGTGTGTGTGTGTGTGTGTGTGTGTGTGTGTGTGTGTGTGTGTGTGTGCCAAGGGAAAGAAGGGGGCAAGGATGGGGAAGGGAATATCGAGCGCTGTCTGTGACATGTTTCTTAGTGTAAACTCCTCAATTTTTCCACAGACAGATTATGTCTACGCACATAAGGAATATTGAATTAGAGATCAGAAAATATGAGGAGCTTACAACACAATTGAAACCGACTTTGCTGTTGGGAAGCACAAAAGTGTATTTAAAACACACTAACAATTCAAATAAACAAATTAATTTTTGGCCTCCCCCTCCCATTTTAATCATGCTTGAACCATGCACAAAACTCACAGCTGCACAAACGCACACACTCTCAATAGATGCACCCCCCCCCACACACATACACAAAAGATCAGAGCATGGATTTCTAGAGTGAAGGTAAACTAAAGTAGACAGAAGGTAGCCATGCTCAGATACGAATCACTCTGCCCTGAAATGACTCCGACTAAGAATAGACGTTTAACACAGCGGTTGAGGCGACGTGCTTGACAAAGAAGCTCTAAACGTGGGTTTCTGGTGCGGCGTCTGTGATGCGCGCGCAGCGATTCCTAATGGGCATAAGGGTATGCGAAGTCAAGTCGTCGGGAACAGACTACCATGCGGTGCTACTCGAAATATTTGGATTTCTCGTATCGTAGCTGTCAGGCCGCTGACTTATCGCGCGGTCTTCTGCCATCCTGTTTAATGACAGAATTGAATTGAAAAATAACGTCTTTTATTGAAATATTTATATTAAACTCTAGGAATTAATATTTTCTTTAGTAGACAATGACTATCTCATCTCTCTTCATGATACATCACCTAAATATGTATAGTAACGGTAGGTAGTATTTTGGCAACAGTTTAAATGTAGCGCCTTGGGAAGCCCTTCTTCATTTCTCAGCCCATAGATGGCAGGACTTTGTGTAAAATTTACCGCTATCTATTGCGAATATTTTGCAGCTTGCACCGGGTCTGTAAAATTTGTTCCGCAGTGATTTTAAGGTTATGTTTATTAATATCAATGACTTTCACGTGTGATCTTTTAGAGGAAATCTGAATGTTATGTTAATGTGCACTTAGATTGATAAAAATATTACTTTCTGAAACGTTATGAATTGTTCCAGTTATTCAATTATAGAATGTGTCAGTATTTGGTATTAAATCTGTGCTAGTGTCACAGAGACACGATACTCTTTTATATTATTGTATAAAATTGGGGTGCATTTCGATCATATAATATTTGCTGTGCATTACATTAATTCACCGAAATGTCGGCAAATGTTGAACCGAAACGAGTGGACAGTGATGTTCCAGAAGAAGCTCTAAATGCAGTTTTAGTGAAAAGTGTTCCTTTACCAGCTGGGACACCCATTATTAAAGGTTTTTTCCCATACTGTAAGATGAATTTCTTTCATTGACGAGTGTAGATGACATACCGTTGTTGATTTCTTTCAGGTTATGATTTTAACAAAGGTATTAACTACCATGCTTTGTTAGAAACTTACCTTTCATCTGGTTTTCAAGCCACATACTTTGGTCAGGCTGTAGATGAAGTGAGAAAGATGGTATGTCATTTATTTATTATTTTAATTGTTGTATCACTTCAATTATATTGGTCCAATAATAGTTATTATTTCTGGGTTCAGCTCTTGTGCCGGCGGCAGGCATTGCCAGAAGATAAAGAAGATGATTCTTTTGAAGAAGATGAATTTATCAAACGTCGAAGTAATTGTACCATTTTTCTTGGTTACACATCTAACATGGTCTCGTGTGGTGTTCGTGAATCAATAAAATTTTTAGCACAACATCGAATGGTAAGAAGGAAAATTAAAGTAAATCTAGCAGCTAAAATGTAAAAGTATGGTTACTTTCATTGTTATATATCAACAAAATTCACAGTAATTGACAAAATGCCATAGTGTTTCTTTCTCACTCTAATGAAGTCAACACTACCATTTTGTCAAGTGAAGTCACTCTGTGATAGTCAATTAACTATCCAGTTTTGGTAGATTTAATGTGAAATGCAAAAGTCCCAATCTGTACAAGAATGCCAGTATTCATAAATGTGTGTAAATGTACAAAGTAATCTTACTAAATTCTTGTTGAAAATAGTTATCTGTGAATTTGAGGATTCATGATAAAACAAGTTAAAAAGAATAAATTTAGAAAAATTAATGTGAATGTTAAAAGGTATTTGAATAGTGAGAAATTCTAATTGTGATATTAGTACTAAATTTGGTTTGATTTATTTGCCTAAGAACACTAAAAACTGTATGTGATGTGTGGAGGAGAAGTACCATATGCCCATGTTTAAAGTAAATATGCACACAAAATTAAAATAAAATAGAGAGTTGCAATATTTTTATCCTCATGTTTAATATGTAAACATTTGTGTTCATTTTTGAATGAAAGTGAATCAAATGAAAAAGGAACTTGGAAAAGTAATGAAAAATTAAAATTTCTAGGATGCAAGTTTGGTGTTGACAAAGTTTTGTTAATATGTCAACTTGGGAGGAGAGTAGGCCTGTTATTTGACAAGTGCATTGTCAGAATAAAATTGACAAAGTGGCAGTCTTATCAAATATATTTGTGGGTTACTGGCTTCTTATTTATTGCAAACAGTTTGAAATTATTTCTTTGAAGTTTCAAAAGTGTCCTCCAAATAAAACTGTGAATAAAATGTTTGTAACTTTTGGGAACACATTCCCCAAGTGTTTCTCTTCACTGGAGTATATTTAAATTACGGGCAATAATTATTTAAAATAAATAATGTAATTGTCATAAAAGTTATTATTCATGATTTCCAAGAAGCTTGTAGGAACTTTCTTTAATTACTTACAACTGTTAGGACGACCTCCTTACGCTCTCAACATTTCATGTTTGTGGATCCTTTCTCTTTCCAACTATGACACTTAATCCTAATTAATAGTTCGTTTGCAGATTGATTGTATCGTAACCACTGCTGGAGGTGTGGAAGAAGATTTAATAAAATGTTTAGGCCACACATATCTTGGAGATTTTGCATTAGATGGTCGAAGACTGAGGGAAAAAGGGATTAATCGAATTGGCAATCTCCTTGTGCCTAATGAAAATTATTGTCGATTTGAAGACTGGGTTATGCCAATTCTGGATAAAATGCTTACAGAGCAGAAGGAAAAGGTACATAGATCTGTATTTACTTGTATATGTTTTTTTAAAGTATATTTCTTTTAGTGCAGGTAATTACTTGACATTCAGTTTTTATGGTGTTCTCAGATAGAAGTAGAAGAATATTTATTATTTTGTTGAGAAATAAATTATGAGTTGAAGTTCAGGGCGTGTTTATGTCTGCCTATGAGAACTATGTGCATTATTATTGTCACATTTTTGAAATTACTTTAATTTCTTTCTATTTATTTGTGAATGTATCTATATTTTAAAACTTTTTTAAAATAATGTTGCTGTGGGTAGAGTAGCAATTCTTATCCACTTTTTATATTTTATGTAGAATGTGTTCCTTTTCCATTCCTTAAAGTTCTTGTAGTCTTTGTTTGTGAATTTCAATGTTTAAAAAAGTGTTTAATAACTTTATGCTTTAAATCAACATCATATTTTGTTGTTGATAATATAAAATCACTATTACTTTATTTCAGATAATAAAGAATGAAATGCTGTATCTTGTAACAGAATTTAGCATGAATTTTAAATGTTATTGGAACCTTACAGGAATGTAATAAAGGTAATTTTGAAGTGAATGGAGGGTATAAGCTAATGAGATCATTTTATCATCTCAATTTCATCTGGAAGATAAAATAGTTGTTTTTTGTTTCAAGAATGCATCTTTTTGAAAGAAAAGAAATTGATTATTTACTTAAGAGCCTACAATGAATTGAGATTAATTTACCAATTTTTTTGTGAATTGTTTAATTTTTTCTTAGGTAAATATAATTAAAAGTTGAATGATAAACTTTTTTTGTCTTCAGGGAATATTGTGGACTCCATCAAAAGTCATTGCTCGTCTTGGAGAAGAGATAGATGATCAGGAATCCATTTGTTATTGGGCTGCCAAAAATAAGATTCCCATTTTTAGCCCCGCCCTTACAGATGGTAGTTTGGGAGATATGATGTATATGCATTCATATCGAAATCCAGGGCTTGTTTTGGACATTATTCAAGGTACGGGTATTGTAATGATGGAATATAAATTTATTTACTATGTACTTTGCATCACTTCTGCCATCTAAAGGAGAACGTGAATGTAAATCCATTTGCTTTTTTTGTTTTTTAATGCTTAAATAAAAATGTAATCACTGACATCGTTAGCCGAATTGCTTAAGTATGCACTGTTAAGTCACAGAAGTTAAACAACTTGAGACACCTGATTCCTGGACAGATTTCCACCTGGGAAACCTGGTTACTAATGATGCTGAGTCCCTGACCAAAAGGATAATAGGCATTGATTAACTCTGACATTATGAGACAAAAGACAAAATGTCATGGAGTACTATTCCAAATACACACATTGAGTAAAATTAGCACCTCCTAAAACTTTTGAATGGTTTCAGGTATTGTAATGTAGTTTGCTTGGATGTGCATGAGGGAATGATGCTCATTGATTTGTGTATTAATTTTTATTTTTACTTGTATTTTACGAGATATATGAGAAAACTTAGTTTTTTCAAATGGAACTATACATATGTTTTCAGTCTATCATGAGTGGAATGGAACAAATGGAATAATATAAATATTGTCAAATGTTAGATGTGCATTTTTAAGTAATTTTGATTTTTTTCAACTAGTGTTTAATGACTATGTTCGATGTAATGGTCCACCACACAAGGACACACAGTGCTCCTCCCTGCGAGCACGCTTGGGGAAGGAAGGGGATCTTGGTCTTTGAAGATACGAAACATATTCTAAATATTCACAAAACTGTTGCAGTGTGGTTAGTATCAAGATTCCATTAACATTGTGAGGTATGACACCCTTTTAAATGAAGTTGAAATAACAATCTTATTTCAATTCATAATACTTATGAGAAATTCGTATTTTCAATCCTTACGTAATACAAAAAATATGAAAATGCAAAAGGATGGACAGCAGAGTTCAGAAAAAAACTGCAACAGTTTTGTGAATATTTGGAATATGTTTTGTATCTTCAAATACGAAGATCCTCTCCTTTTGCTGAGTGTGCGCTAGCAGGAGGAGTGCTGTGTGGCCTTGTGTGGCAGGCCGTTACATTTAAAATATTCGTTGAACATTAGTCACAAAAAATCAAAATTACTCAAAAAAATGCTTATCTAACATATGAAAAAATGTATATCATTGGAATCTTCTACTTACACTTGTCATGAGAGACCAAAAAAAATGTGTTGTTCCATTTGATACCACAAAATTACTTCAAATACCTCATAAAATACAAGTGATACAATAGAAATAAATACATGTATCAATTAGCCCTATTCCATCATGCACTTCCGTGGAAACTGCATTGCGATTACCTTAATTGTTCAAAAGTTGCTAAAGTTACACGACTCACCCTGAATGTTACACGAGGTGCTAAAGTTACATGACTCACATTCAATGCCCAAAGGGGTTAAGAGACATGTTGTGAAAATGACACAACAAATTAAAACTAGTGGTACTACAAATTAAAACTAGTGGTATATACTTTCTTGCATTATTTCTAAATTTGCAATTTTCGAAAATCCAATGAGTTTAATGAAAATGAGTTCAATGCCGTTCCGTTAAGCATCCCTTCCAACTGTGGAAAAAGTTTAAAGAGAAAATTTAGAGTGCATTTAAGAAAAATTGTTTTTAGAAATTTCATAAATTTCACACACAAAATATACAAAATCTACTAGTTTTTTCAAACAGCTGTTCATGACCTTTTTTATACAGCTGATTTTTAACAACAGACGGTCTAACATGGCAGAAATCTCTATCTTCTATTTTGTACTTTGGAAATGTCAACTTTTTGCAATTTTTGAGAAATGAAGAGTTTGCAAAAAAATGGGACTAGTACTATATTTTTTTACCATTCCTTGATACATACAAAGGAAAAATTTGAAGAAAAGTTTGGTGCCTGATTACAGAAAAAAAAGTTTTAAAAAATTAAAAATTGCTTCTATTTTGCCCGTGATTATAGAAAAACCACTCATATTTTCAAACAATTGTATATGACCTTATTTCAAGATTTGTCTCTTCAATATCATAGTTTTAGGAAGACACAAAAAAAATGCCTTTTTGGCAAGTTTTAAAATATCTGGAATTTCAAGAAACATGAGACCTGCATCTTTCTCTTTAGCGTCCTTTACGCTATCCGAGGAGAAAATTTAATCAAAATCTTTGGTGCCACTTTTGAGTATATTTGGAGAATGTTGAGTCTTCTGGCAAAGTACCATCAAAAATCAAAATATTCAGTAGGAACTTCCAAAGCCTTGAGTTCGTTCAAATCGATCAGAGAATATTAATTGTGGAGAAAATTAGCTGAACAGTTTAGGCACTAGCATTGACCGCAGACAGACAGGCATACGATACTTCAGTAAATTTTTTGGTATCAACAACCAACAAACTAAAGATTCTAACTACACCATGTGTTAGAAGAAGTAATTTACTATGTATAGTAACAGGATTTATCCACTTTTTCCTAACCAAGTCCTGGCAATAAGAGTTTTTGTGCTGTAAATTTGCCATTGTCCATTGCATGATTACATAATTTTTTGTTCTTAAGAAATAAGTGCAAGAAACTAAAAATAAAAAAACAACAACTCTATAAATAAGAGGGAAGTATGTATCTGTATTTCAAAATAACTGCCTTTTTTGGCATTCTCATTTGCTTATTTAGATTATTTAAAAAATATTTCAATTGTTTTGATGATTGTTGTCTGTCTCTCCATTTATTTGTATTAATCTCTGGAGAGGCTAAAACTATTTTAGTGGAGCTTCCACTGAGAGGTAAAGTATTTTGTTGGACCTAACTTCAGCTACTTTTCAAATTATTATCTTATATTACATAAAGAAGAGTGTTTATTTGTTTCTTTATACAAATCTACAAATTATATTCTGATATTAATAAGTTTGTTCCTGATACCTTTAAAATAAGAGAATAGTTTCTGGTGCTATGAGATATTGTAAAATCTACCTCCCACACAGTGTGCTACTCCGTATAACAAAATTTTATGTATTCGTTCAGTTTTGTGCATACATCTTGAAAACAGTGAGAAAAGTCACTCAAATGAATTCACTTTTTTTTAAAGACTATAAAATGGCATACTAAATGCATTATGATGGCACAAGTAAACTTTGAGTAATTGAAGGTCAAAATTGTTTCTGAAAGTTTACGAGGAGTAAGAATCACAAAGCATATGTTTATTGGTGACCATAGCAATAACAATGTAGCAACAATGATCATAGCAAGCCTGGAAGGCATGGGGTCAGGTGAGGCATGGCAAGGTAGGGTGAGAAGAGTCAAGGTTTAGGTGGGCAGGCGGAACGGGGTGGAATGAGGCAAAGCAGGGCAGAGTAGGGTGGGAAATCAGGGCACTTCATCAGTTAAAATAAATGCGTACAATTTTATTCAGTAACGTGTGTATACATTCAAGATAAGTTAATTTGTTACATTTCATTTGTAGATATGTATAAAATGTATAAAATTACATACTTCCAAGTATCAAATAATATTTTACTTCAAGTGTCACGATAGTACAATACCATATGATTTCAGAAGATGTTAGAAATTATGAGTGAATGTCATAATAATCAATTCTTTTCTATTACTTAATTTTTCACAGAATATTTTTCATCTTATTCTAATATTTATTAATTATTTATTTCACCCAAACCTTTTCCTATGTGTATCTATGTATTTACAACAATATGAGAAGAAATTTACACCCAAACATTCATCTAAGATTCAGTTTCTTTGCAGGTTTAAGTGCTTATCATCAATTTATTTTCCTTATTTTTACATTTCCTACAACTAATATTAGTAAAAATTTTCAGATCTGAGGAGACTCAACTCAATGGCAGTAAAAGCTGCTAACACTGGGATGATTATTCTAGGAGGTGGTGTAGTCAAACATCACATCTGCAATGCCAACCTCATGGTAGTATTTATGTGATATTTTTATGAGAATATAATAATTTTTTAAAATAAGGTTGTCTTTTTTCTTCAGTAGTACTTGTAAATATATTCAGAAACAATCAATGTGTTACAACATTAATTTGTATAGAAAGAGGGGGGGAGAAAATGAATACTTACATTTGCATGTCCAAAAGATCTACATAAACTGAATTGCTATGTGATAATAGAATTATTTTGCTTTGTGAAGGTGAAAAGCTGAAGGTTTCCTTCTGAGTTAAATTTGAAAGATACTGCATATTGTTTAGTAAAATATGTTGTTGTTTTTTTTATGCAGAGAAATGGAGCAAATTACTCTGTCTTCATCAACACTGCATCTGAGTTTGATGGTAGTGACAGTGGTGCCAGGCCAGATGAAGCCATTTCTTGGGGAAAAATACGCATGGATGCGTCTCCTGTAAAGGCAAGTTTGTTTTGAGCTGTGTAAGCTTATGAAGTAGAATGTTTGTGTGCAATCTGGTTTCTGTTTAAGAACCTGTACACATTCTGGCAGTAATATATGCATAATGGCATAAATACATATTTAACTATTGTATAAAGTTTGAATTACATCTCTTTTTCTCTCTTTTTTTTATTAATAGGTTGAAAATGTCTCTCTTTTGTCATGGTATAGTTTTGTGTGTGTATGTGTGTAATTTATATGTAAATTAGCTTCTTCTTATAGTGTTTTGAAGAAAGAAATACAAAAAATATTAATTGAGCATTCTTTGGATATAATGTTTTCATATTTGGAACATTTTTGGTCACTTGAAAAAAATTTCTAACAAGATTCCACTGTTGTACTGAAATATTGGTAGTAACTGCCCAAAAAATAATAAATAGGACAATTCTAATTATTTCTTAATCCTAAATGTCTGTCCATGTATTTGTTCACGTTGCTGTCAATAATCTTATTTTGATGTTTTAGGTCTATGCTGATGCTTCCCTAGTTTTTCCATTGCTTGTTGGTGAAACCTTTGCAAGACAGTACCATGCTGAGAAGGACAAAGTTGAATCTACTGTGTAGATTTTCTGCATTTTTAAAAAAGAATAAATTCCCGCTTACAAAAAAAACTCCCTTTTAACTAGTTTATACTAGTCATTAATATTAGTATTGTTCCTATGTAGACAGTGATGGCAAATCAGGTTTTTCTTTTACATTTGGCATATGTTGAAATTTTTGTGCCTTGACAAATATTTTACTTACTTGAATTTGGAATTTGACTCTTATCCCCCAAAAAATTGCGGTGGATTTCAAAAGAACAGTTAAATATTGATTATTTTTTTATTGAAAATTCATGTCCTGACTAGAATACATTTTCAATTTGACCTTGTTATCTATGAAACATGATATTCATGTAGTGTTGAGTGAAATCATAGGCCATAAAAAAACAAATGTAATTTGTTTCAGAGAAATTAAGGTATAAACTGAATGGGAAACATTTCAAATCCCTTGATGGATATCTTTGTTTAAATTTATATCTTTCATTTGCAAATGTTGTTCTTTCAATTATGTGATTGAGAAAATTTGCTTTAGAAACGGTCGTGCAATGCAATGACACTTCGAAACACACCATTACAATTTCCATGTGAATGTATATTAATATCACAACATAATATTTTACACAGTAGGCCATCAGATTTTAACTATAAAGACATGTCACATTGTGAATCTTTTGAAAGAAGGCTTCTCTCAAGAATTTTAGAAATATGATTTATTGCAAATCATCATGAAAGTCGAAAAATAAATGTAGTGTACAAACTGTTCTATTTTAGAAGAACAATATGTCCATGTGATGATTTGTAGAAAATTAAGTATTTCAAAATATTCAGAAATTTAATTTGTTAGTTTTTAAATTATCCTGTTTTTCTTTCAGTGCACATGAACACACTTCCAAAAATGCCTTAAATTCAAATATTCCAATGACCAGTGTAAAAATTCAACTTTTTGCCACTTCTTATTTTTGCTTTTGGCTTTTGTTCCTATTCACATTACACATCATTACACTCTTTCATTCACTCATTTATTGTAGAGGAAACAGTGGATTTACACAAATGCACTCACAACACAAACACGGTCTTTAATAATAAGAACATTAAATAATTATTATATAGCATTTACAATCAGGAAGATTATTTCATCATTTTAATTTTTACAAATTTTGTCATTACAACCTGGAATGGCATATGGAATGTCAGTTTAATTCAGTGTATTCAAAGCAAGTGTATTTTTGATTAGCCATCACTGTTTAATAATTTGAATTTATTCAATGGAAAGATCCCATTGTAGAACACATGGTTTTTGGACCGGCTGCAGTTCAATGAACAATACAGAGAAATTAATGAATTTGTTCCTGTACATATGTTGGTACATACCTGTGATATTTTTTGTATTTGAGTAATTTTACTTTCAAGTTTTTTATTCGCATTGTCATACATTTCATAATTACAGCAACAGTGTAACAGATGTTTCCATTTATATTCTCTGTGGTTCTCTAGGAATGAAATCTACATGTTCTGTTATCTTAATTCGGTGTAAATATATAAGTAGTGTTTATGTGTGATTACTCCTGACTTGTATACAAACATTTGTAATTGTTGAATGTATATTTGTATACAGTTTCATAAGTATATTATACAAAAATTATGATTTTTTCCAGTTATTTATGTTTTATTAAGTCAGTGAAACTTGTAATTTGTTTAATTATAACACAAGGCTCTGTTCTTGTTTTGCGTTTCACAAACTTTACCTGGTATCAGATTGAATTAGTTTATCAGATTTAATTCAGGACTTAATTTTTTTAAAACAAGTTTTCAACAATATATATCAGTGATTGTGATATAAAATATGGAAATAAGTTTTCAGAAAATATAGAAATTAAATATACACTGGAAAGCATGGGAATTTATAATGAATAATATGTTATTCTGGATAAAGCTGGGTAACTTAGTAGCATATATTTTGTTATCTATATGAATGTTGTGATATCCATTTTTTATTGGTTTCCTGTTTACATGTGTTGAAAATTAATTCTTATATTATTAAGAAGTTTAAAGTTTTTACAAGATTTGTGAAACTTCGTTTTTAACATATCGTATAAGTTTAAGTAACAGTATAATAATATGTTCTAGCAAACATGTGAATATTGAATTCTCACTCAGAATTATGTTAAAGAAACTTGATCATTTATTTGAACAAGACAATTTGTGTTATATTATAATACTAACATTTTCAAAAAGTACTGTCAATCAATTCTGCAATTTAATTTCTGTTTTGTTTGTGTAATTATTAGCATTTTATAAAATTATGATGAATCAGTAAAAAAATCATAGGGACTTAGACCTATCCTAGGAAAATGTTATTTCTAATAAGTTTTTAAAAAGAAAGGACTGGTAGATATTGGAATGAGAGTTTCCAAATAAGGTTATTTTCTCTCATGTCTCCAGAAATTTTTTCCATGATCTATGGAGAAGAGTTTGAAAAGAGAGGAAACAAAAATTACAGAAAATATTTTTAGGAATCGACAGAAAAGGAGCCCTATAAAAATTTTCATGTAGACCAAATTTCCGAAGATATATGATATCTTGAACACCCCCCCTTTTTTTTCTTACATCTTTCCTTTCTGTCTTAACTCAACATGATTTGCAGTATGAATCGTTTGCTGAGCGTCTGTATAATGGCTGGGCGTCGTATAATGAAACCTACGTCTACGATGTTTTTGTTTATTAATTTCAAGAAACTGATGAATCTGCGTGTGACGTACTTTGCGGGAGGAATGGGATGATGCCCGACCATCAGCTTTCGTAATTTTTGTTTGCATCTTCATGAGTAAAACATTCGGATCTTTTCGTGTTAAGGTAATGCGTTTGTTTTAATATCGTTATAACGCACCATGAAATACTTTATTTTATCTGCGACGCTTCCATGCACTACAAGAAATAGTAGGTGTGGTGCTTGACTCATGGGCCCAGTCGCTGACACTTCTCGACGGCGGGTGGTGGTGGACGGTGATACACGTGGTTCTGTTCGGTTTCGTGTACAATTTTTAGTGCGATTTATCTCATTTACGGTGGATATTTGTAAATGTGTGTGGAATTTGGAGGAAAAAATGTTTAAAAGAAGGCTCAAGTGGAAGTTGTGTGAAAAAGGACTAGAAGAATGCATGACTCCTGCGTGGGACGTTCTCTGTAAGTAAAGTATGATCTAACTTAAAATAATGGTCCTTATAGTAATAAAATCTCGTAATTTCTGTGTGTATATAGTACAATTGGTTATGGCAATAATGTTGTGAGTTTCATTCGTAGTTTAAGTCAGCTGTTATTAATTCGAGTATGTACTACGCTACATTTCGGCGTTATGTTTGGAATATCTCAAAAGCAAAATGTATATTAGGTGTATAATAGAGACACGTCTTTATTACGTCTTTTAACTCGTTTACCGACGTGTTTCACTGTGTTAATAGACAACTCTCAAAATTCACGAGCCCTTGAAAACCTTTTGGACTATCACATGATTCATTTTCATCATAGAGCAAACTTTGATGCATTCGTTTTAGTTAGAACGTATTATCGTATTATTCGCACAAGTTTTCTTGGGACCTCATTTTGTTACATGTGAGAGGGGTGTGTGTGCGGGAGAGGGGGATGGCTATTTCGAGAACAGGACTTTGCATTAAAACTTTACCTCGTTTTTCGCTGCAAAACGATTATACGGGAGCCAATATTTCTGGATTTCATATTTTGTTAACAACACTTATTGCTATCATTTATTCTTAATGTAACTAACGTTACTAAAGGGGTGGAAGGTTGATATTTCAAGGCTCAATAAAACGTGCATGTATTATTTACTTTCTCATTGTGCTTAGCAATCGACTACCTGTTTGCACTGTCTAATGGTGTACAAAATTTTGACAGGTCCGAACATACTGTGTTCGCATTCTTATGGCTGTGTGATTGTTCATGCTTCTTGATTGTTACTTTCTCGGTATACTGTGGTCACGTAAAGACACAGCATTGCAAACCTGCTTCAGAAATGAGCAATTTTTCAACAGAAAAAACTGTATTGTCAGGCCCTTGTAATACAAATGTGGATATATGTAGTAAATGTCTAATTCATGGTGTAGTGAGAATCCACGTTCTGTGGATCTTTGAAACAGAAAAAAATATTGTCGGTAGAACTGTCTTGTCTGCCTGACTGGAGTACTTCACATGAAGCCCCTGGGACAATTTCCAAATAAAAAATGGCTCCATCGTTTTTTATTAAATTTTGTTGTTGGATAGTGTGAAGAACGAAGAGAATGGTGTCGATTACACGTTCGTTAAATACCCTGAGATTTTGTAAATTGCAAACTCTCAATTTTTTTTCAGAATCTTTCTTCAACTAATATATTAAAGATAGATTTTTTTCCCCTTAATAAGATTAAGAGAAAAAAAGGTAGATTTTGAAATAAGGTCATGCACAATTTTTGGAAAATTTGAGTTCTTTTCGCGTAATTTTGCGTGAAAATACGGACGACAAAGTACGTGCTGTTTTAGCACCACTAGTTTCGTTTCATTTCACGTTCTGGTTGATACGTTAATGGAGCGGCATTACTATTCTGTCCAATGAAGCGAAAGTAGTGTACGGTACTTTTTTTTGTATTACATTTTTGTTTTTATTTTGTGTATGTTGAGGAAGCTGTCAAAGTGGTAAGCCAAGTTTCTGTCGAATAGTTAGATTTCTTGGACTCTTCTGATCTTTTGTGATTTGTATTTTTAGTCCTCAAGGGTTTGTGTTAGGGTGATGAGAATGAATGCAGTTTCGGCGTGGTGCCGAAAAGGGTGTTCGGGTGAGATTAACTACATACAAAACCGTAAATTGATCGCCACCGAGTTTTTGCGTCGTGTGTGTTACCATCCTATGAAGTAGGACTAGCAGAAGTTACGTGATTGCTTAGAGCGGAAGAGTGGAAAGAAAGAGGTTATTCATATGCTCAAGTTATATGTGAAAGGGGATTTGGTTCGCGAGATCCAAGTTTCTTACCTTTCCTTGGGTGCGTCTCCAAATTATTCGGATCATGAAATCGTATTTTTGTAAGCATTCATTTATTTTACAACCCTTTTGCATTCACTTTTCAGTGCTAATTTCCTAATTTTAGAGGAAATCCGTGTGGGGACACCCTTCTACTTCCTCCCATTCCCCTCTCTTTAGTTTCTTCTCCTTCTCATCCCCTTCCACCGTTCACTTCTGTAGGACGTTCCGTGTTCTCTGCTTTACCAACTGTTCTTAACTTCTGCTTCATGTAGCTCGCAACAAACCGCAGTGATCTGACTGATGCCACTTTGAATCTAGACATATTTATTTCTCAAGGCCCATGCTACATACTACGACCCTAGAGAAAGTTCGTTAACGCAACTCTGAATTGTGTTCTTTGATCGTTTTGATCATCCCGACGATTTTAACGGGATGGATTGGATCCGGACTGTGCTACTCGTACTTTCTCGTCCTTCGTAGGAAGAGAAATGCTGTGAGCGTGTGCCGCAAAAAAAGTAAATTTTCGACAGAAACGCTCTCATTGCCGAGCCTTGAAAACGAAAAAGTTATTAAGTCTTGTTTCTATATAGTATTGTAAGTTACTTCCTCTAACACGTTGTGTAGACAGGATCCATGTTTTGTGGGTCCTTGTTACAGAAAAATTGACGACAAAACGTATGTCCGTCCGCCTGTGATAAACGCTTACCTCTAATCTGTTCAACTGATTTTTTCCAGGGTTGATATTGCCCAATCAATTTAAGTTAACTTGACTCCCTTTGAATTTGAAACAGATATTTTGATTTTTGGTGCTACAATACATGAAGCCTCATCAACATTTTAAATATGTTCTCAAAAGTGGCTCCAATTATTTTGATTAAACCTTCCCATCGGATAGCGTAAAGGACGCTTAAGAGAAAAATGGCAAATTTAGAAATAATGTGAGAAAGTGCCTTTGTGGCATGTACCACTGGTCCATGTTCTGTGCTGTTCGGACCTGATCGGCCTCGCCCGGCAACGCCTAGCAACGAGGTCTCGGATCGCGGGTTTCCACAAACACAACATGCGAGAGTAACCAAACACTTTCAGGTCGCGAATCCTCGTAACTTTTTTCAGCTTTTCAAAATAGTTCATAAAAGTGATTAAAATGTTGTTGAACATTCATACCACATGATGACTCTCTTAAGATGATCCCATTGAATATCTCCTGCATTGGTGTCTTAATTGATGAATTTATTACTAAACCCAGCTAATGTCAGAGGCACTTAAGACGATGTGCAATATTTAACTATAGCTTTTTAAAACGATAAAGCTTCGATTTTGTAAATGAAACCGTAGATATTTTACTACCCCATCATAACGAACGTGAAGAGAAGAGTTCTGATGAATGCGTGTTACTCTACATTACGTAACAATATTTTTGAGAAATTTAGTTTCTGCCATAGAGTAAGGACAGTCCTTTCTATCAATTTTTACAATTACCTTCCGTTCTCTCGCTCTCTCCTGCTCTCGCTCGCTCTCATCCCTCTACATTCCCTCTCTTTCTCCTCGTATCCATTCTCTCCCTTCCTCTCCACTCTCTTCCTTCCAGTCTCTCCCTCCTCACTTCCCTTCCCCTCCATCACTCCACTCTCTCCCAATTTCTCACCGTCTTATTTACACCCTTCCCCCCCACTCTCTCTCCAACCCGTTCACATTCTCTTATTCATACCTTTACGTTCACTCTCTTTCGCTCGCACCCTCCCGCTCACTTCTTTTAATCCCCCCGTCCCCGCTTGCCTTCCCTTCACGCCTCTCGCCTCCCAGCACTTCCGCTCTCCCGCATGTCCAACGGACGGCGGGGGCGGACGGCGGACCACGCTTCCGTGTGTTCAGCTATCGACTTTTTTTTTGTTGCAGAAAAAGGCCGGATGAGGTTATCCTCCCCATCCCATAATTCACTGCGTTCGCTTTCCACTTCCCAGCGAGGAATATTGTTTTTTATTAGACAGATTCGCGTTCAGTTTCCGTGCAATATCCGAAATATGACAGCCTTCTCAAATCGGAGAGAGAGAAAATATACAGCGGGAAACATATTCTGCGCAGTTGTGGGTTGTAAAAAACTACGAGCATATCGAATAAAAGCAATCGAATTATCGCTGATTTGTAGCTTAAACCCTGCTATTGTCGAAACTTTATTTATTGTCTGATTGTTTAATAATGGAGATCACGTTGCGCGTTAAGAATTGTTTGGTATACGGCGACTTCCAATCGGGAACGTATCTTTTTGCCATGCCATTCCTTTAAAAATTCCACAAGTTATTCTCTCGTAGATTCAGATTTCAGAAATCAACAGAATTCTGAAACGAAAGAATTTCAGAGTACGTTATTAAAACACTAAAATTGTCGATTGTATAAATGTTAGTTTCATGTGTTTGAAGGTTCATTAAGGTGTACTGAAAACAGTCCTCTGAAAATTAAAGTTATAATACATTATTCGTCCAAACTTTTCCATCTAAAAATAATGAAATGAACAATATCCTATTAGTACTGTAATAATGGAAAATTGTGTTGAATTTATTAACATTCAATCATCTCTTCTCTTTGTTGCGATCATTTGAAGCTGTGTCGTACAATAACAATT